TATCCCTGGATTAGATTACTTCTAGATGGCAGCATATGTTGCTTCAAAATTTTAGTGTATATTTTTTGCATTATTGACGTCTCTCAAACATACATGTCATCCATGCTATGTGCACTGGCTCGTTCCCATAGCATGACATTTGATGGCTTTTGAACCTGATGCAGATTACAGATTACAGGTTGTTCTTGTCATCCTTGAACCAAGGAACATGTTTTTTTTCTGGAAAAGTTGACTCTTTGGACAACAAAACACACTATGTGTTCCTGCCCTCAAAAATGAAAGCAGAAAGTCTTTCCTATCTGCCAATACTGAACAGTTCCTTTCCAAATTCAATGAACATGTCAGACATTTACAATAAAAAAAAGTCCATTTTCCCAGTACTGTATGTCATGACGTAACAGTAAAGAGTCCAAACCCTTGTGTCTATATAGTGTACTTCCAAGCCCATGTTGTGATATCCATTACAGTGACATGACGGTTCTTAAGACAGGGATGTCAGAGGGACTGGTGATCACGCGCGTTTTCAGTCTTGCCTTTACGTGGTGAGTTTGACCAGATTCCCTCGATATTTTGGTTGTATTACTCACTACAGAGGGTGAAATGCCCAACACCCAGCCAATTTGTCTTTGGGAGTGTTATTCTTAATGTGATGCATTATCGGTTTAAGAATCTTTTTCGCACATTGGCGAGCCTGAGCCCATCTTTGGTGTTAGGGCTGGGGCCTTTTTTTGAGGCTCCTTTTATACGATAACATGATTAGAATTATCTGTTTTGCATCACTTATTGCAATTTGTCACATCTGTATTACTCTTAAATTGCACCTGTGCCAACTTGATAAGTGTGTAGTTTCAATAAACAATTGAATTCACAAGTTAAAGCATCATATATGTTGCTGTAGTATTTCAATGTAGTTGATGGTGAGTGAACTTTGATAAATTACTCCTTTTTCATTTTATTTGTATTTTCCATTGTGTGCCAACTTTTTCAGAATTTGGATTGTAAGACAAAATAGTGTCCCTTCCCCGCCTCTTAGTCGATGCGACTTTTCAAGTGTCTGACTTGTTTCTGAAATTCTTGTCAAAGCTGTTTTGCTGTCAGTATTTTCAGCACTTTCAGACAGAAAAGTGTGAGCAGCTCTCTGGTGGCAGAGGATCTGGGGTATTGGGGCATTTGTGTTATTTCATCCATGTCATAACAAGGTACTTGAGTGTGGACACATCTGACGGGCTGTTGATGAGCCGTCAGACTTAAAGCCTTGCATCCGTGATGGACGTTTATGACTGTGGTTTTAGTCACTTTCCTGAAGTGAACGAGAAACAGTGCATTTCTCACTGTACTTGTCTCTGCTACCAACTAGAATACCAACTTGTTCATTGCTCTTTTCTGACTTTCTTAGTTTGGCTTCTTTCAAACAGACTCGAGATGAATGCTGTATAACCATTTCTTAATGCACAAAGAGTACATGAAGACTGATAAGAATCAAATTAGTTTCTAAAACAGCGTCGGGAGAAGTGTTAGTAGACAGACATGTTATTCTACTGTATCCTGGTTGTATTACTAACCTCTAATGCACCATACTTTCTGTAAAGAAATCAGAGTGAGGTTGAAGCCATGAATGAAGTTCATTTCCATTATGTTGACTGATAAAATTGATTCAAAATCTTTATGTAAATAATACTTCATATTGACTGTCTGTGCATCTTAAATTTACTCAAAACAAACAAAGAACCCAAATCTGGAACAGACTGCATCACTTGGCGGCAACTGAGGCGATGTGTATTCTGTCTTTCGTTTGAGATGAAGAGTTGTGTATTATTCTTTACTGCCGGTGGAGATGTAATTTGAGTACTTTAAGGACACAAGAAGAGGAGGCCAGAGCGTTTTCTGTGATTGATTGACAGGATCAGTTTCGATGAGGGGAAGCACTGGGACATGCACAGCTTCTCTCTCGTTCCTCTGTTCGTGGACGGAGTTCTCGTCGAGCCTGGATTGGAGAGCCATATAATCACGTGAGTGGAGAAAATACTTTCATTTGATCATCATTTAAAGTTCATCAGCTGACAATCTGGGTTTGTCATCCAATTGTACACTGTAATAATGGTAGTTCACTTATACTTTTTAAAGAAGCACTCGATCATGAGATTGAAAGTGAGTTTTTCATTGGCATCGTTTTAGAAGGAGGCAGTTAAACATGAGAGGCCTTGTATTATAATATATAACATCCATGTGATGTTAATTCTGCCACGATCACTTTCTTCAGTGTGACTGCACAATGGGCAATCAACACAAAAGATGAAGTAATTGACAATGATTTAATGACTGGCGACATGGCTCTGTTCTGGATGCTCCCTGCATGTCTATGCAAGCACGTATGTAGTCGAAAGCAGGGAGTGCCACGGGAATTTCCCAATATAAAACCATGCAGCCGTTGCCAAAGATTGGAGGCTATCATGTGTAGGACCCTTGCTGTGAGAGGTGTATATTGACTGATACTATAGAGTAGCATGAATATACAGTAGATTAGAATTGAAAGTGAGAAAACAGCTAGTATCATTTCAATTAGAATCAGTACTGCGAGGAATATATACTCTGAAGAATATGTATAGGACAATGGCCATGCTGTCATTTTTCTTGAGTCTAATACTACAAGGAAAACATACTATATGATGAACAGAGCTGGGGAACTTGAAAAAGTACTATATTACATATTGCATATTACTTCTTATAAAAAGTAATGTTATGTTACAATGTTACCTTCTATCGCAGTGACTAATTACTTTTTGTGTAACTCTGAAGTTTTTTCTTTAAATTTAATTGCAGAATTGGTCCTCGCATGTAAGCCTTATTGATAAGATGTGGCTTTTATAGCTATAGCCTATAATTACATCCATTTATCTGCCATATCTCTGATTTGATAACTGGACGCAATTATTCTTTGCGGTATCACTTTTACCGGAATGCATCTGGTGATGTACCAAATTGAGTCCATAAATTAGAAAAAAATTTAAGTTACTGAAGGCAGAGTAATATATTGCAGCTCTTAATGTAGTAACTGTTATAATATCACCTGTATATATGTACAGTATGTATATGTATATATATGTATAATTTATAATAATTATAATATCACCTGTACTATGTGAAAGACAGCTGCCATGTTGCAATTTCCCTAGACAAAATGTTACAACAAAAAAATGCAAAATGAAAAGACTGTGTAGACAGCAGCTATAGTGTCATTTCCTTGAAGCTAATCTTACAAGGACATTATACTATATGTCGAGACTTTGTGTAAGACAGCAGCCATGCTGTTTGAGGTTCTGCAAGACAAATTTGTTGAATTAGCGGAGGAGATTAGGGGCAGATCCTCCACGGTAGTGTTTCCTGGGATTTTCCCTGAACCACGTGCAAGTAAAAGGAAGCAGAACTTTATTTGGCAGTTTAAAACGTGGCTACAAACATGGTGTAGGAAAGAAGGGCACAGGTTTATGGGGCACTGGAATTTCTTTTCGAAGAGGGGTCACCTGTACAAGCTTGACAGGCTACACCTGAACTAGAAAAGTATCTTTGCATTTGGCCATGCTTAGGTAGCACAGGCTTACTTAAACTAGGGACTTGAGGTGCAGGGAGGTCAGAGAGTGATACGAATAGGGAGATGTGGACTGGCCTGATGGAGGCAGACAGGGCCACATGCACTAATGAGGATATCGTTTTTTTTTTTTTTTTTTTTAAATTTGGCATCTCCAATCCCACCCCAATCTGGAATGTCCAATTGGGAAACTATGTACAAGGCTTTTCGCATATGCAGCCCCCTATTGCCAACTCAGGAGAGTGACACAGCTCGCGGCTCTCCTCCGAAGCACGCGCCTGTCGCCACTGTTTCTTATACACCCATTGGTCGAAACCTCGCAAGCTCAGAGCGAGGGCGGAGGATACCCAAACATGAACAAGCTTAGAATCTTCCTAACGAGCGCCCGTCTGGCCAACAGGAGGCGCCTGAGAACTTGTTATTTACAATACCCTATCCTGGCACACCCTTCCCAATTTGCATCCCTGTAGCACATCGGCCAGTTACGCGCTACTCTGAAAAGAGCTGCCGACCACTGCCGGCTGGTACGAGGCGGGGATCGAACCCGCGCTGAGATTGTCACTTCTGCTTCGCAACGCAATGCTTTACCAAGTGAGCTATGTGGATGTCGTTTTAATGCGAAAATGCAAAGTGTGCTGCTTGGAGCAGCTGGTTGCAGTGGAACATGTGGGGAGGTGCAGAAGTAATTGTCTGGAATGTTTTCATAGACAACTAAATTCTAGAAACAAAAAATAAATTCTTGGAACTTGAGATTGTTATGATGAGCGGGGGCTATGACATTGTTAGGATGACAGAGACATGGCTTGGTGAAGAGGATGGGAGTGAATACAAAATAGAAGGTTACAAGTTTATAAGGAATGATAGGTCAAGTTGGAGAGGAGGAGATGTAGCAGTCTATGTGAACGAAAATATTAATGAGCTGAAATGAATTCCTGAAATTGATCATCTCTTGTCACGTGAAGATATTTGGCTCTGGCTCATTGGGGAACACAAGACGAGTCTCAGCATAGGAGTGTACTCCCGACTGCCATCTTCAGACAGTGTACCAAATGCAAGACTCTTTGAGAATGTGAGGCAAGCTTGTAGGGAGCAATGGGACTATTATTCAGATGTCTTTAATTACCTTGCTATCGATTGGGAAATGGTAAAAGGTGAGGAAGAATTTCTGGATGTTATAAATGACAATTTTTTGATGCAGCAAGTCAGTAAAGCTATTGTAGATTTAGTGCCATGCAATCATCCTGACTGTCATGGGGAGTGGCAAGGCCCAAATCAACAGGAGTGAAGATTTACTGGTTTTTAATGAGTTTCAAGCAGGGATTAACCGAATGCAGAACAGGGTAGCTTGGTGCAGGTCAGGATCAGGAATTCATGGAGCTTGAGTGGTGCTCTTCCGGGAACTCGAGGGAGCCGGCACTGATGGCGGGATTTGAACCGGGGTCGCCGACGCAGCAGGCGGGAGAGTTACCACTGCGCCACCGCGGCAGGCTGGCTTGAGGCTGGGCCAACTGGGCAGAATCCACTCAGGTAGGCGGGGGAGTGGTAAGCCGGGTGGCTTGGACAGGGGCACAGGAGACGGCAGACTGGAACCAGGAAACACACAGGCAGAACTCAGAGTCAGAGGCAGAAGGCTTTCAGGTTTACTGGGGCAGGAATGAGAGGACATATAGTCAGAGGCAGGCAGAGTAGATTCCAGGAAGTCAGCCCAAAGACAAAGGCTGGAGAGTAGTGCATGCTGCAATGACAATCTGGCAAAGAGTTAGTGAAACAGACCTGCTTATCCACCTTATTCCTGAGGGCGCTACTGTAGATATGATGAGGGGTGCAACTTCCAGCGGAAGTAGTTTATCATTAGTTTTAGTTAAGAACAACTTCCCAAAAAACAGCAGTTTCTTTCAGTTAACTTAACGATTACAGCTCGTTTTTTTTAACAAATTAACTTGCTTTTCTTAAAATGTTCCCTTCAGAGCTCCGGCACCTATTGTGCTGTTCGAGGCTGATCTAACAACCAGAGGAAGCTAAATTTATGGTTTGATCAACAGTGTTTTGAACACGCACCCAGAACATAGGGGATTGTCCTTGTCTTCAGCGAAACGGTTTCCATCGCCTACCTATAGAAGAGGAAGCCAGAATTTGGCTGAAAACCTGAATTTGAAAAGACCCCCGAAAACATTAGGTGCTCATTTCATTATGTGGACAAACAACGATTCCTACTTTATGGCTAGGCTCAGACAGACCGCCGCAGAGGAGACGCCGGGTCCTCAGAAGCATTTTGACAGCAGTGCCAGGAGAGCACAAGGTATGATTTCACGTGTAGGGAGGACAGAAAATTGTTGTATTTCTTCCGGTAATGCCAGTCAGTGTAACTAACGTTTCATCCTGTACAGTTTAAGATGAGGCTGTAGAAGTAGCAATAGTCTACTACAATTTGAAAATAGCCTACTCTGTTCCAAACAATAATCTTGCACTCCAAACCTCATTTCACTAAAATTAAAAGTATGGGAAAAATGGATTCACTGTGTTTTACATGTTATAGCATTGGATTAGCTAGCAACTTAATACCGTATAATGTAGTTGGCTGGAGTAGAGCTAATTTGACTCGTACTGTCGGATGGCTTACTTTACTCTGTATAACAATCCATTACGTTTCATATGTAGAGCAATATTTACCACTGAAATGTAGTGTTTCCTTCATAAATATTCTCAGAAAGTACTTGTATATCTGTTTTAAGGTACATAAGGTCGTATACTACCTCCTTTAACAAAACGTGACTGACCTTATTGCTGTGGAAGTACTGCATACGCTTCGGAGCTTTGTAGATTGTTCATAGCTTCGCAGTCTGTGGCAACAGAGTCGCCAATGTAGCCAAATGCGCTAGTGTGGCCACTGCTTCAGGTCGTTCTCCCATTCTTCAATAGTAGAAGGCAGCGGTACCGTAACTTTATCCCGTCTGAGGGCTAAAAGGTGATGTTCCCTCATATATTATTTTCCAATCGCTTAAAAAAAAGAGGATTCGTGTGAGCCGCTACCATGGTAAACTGTTCAGTGACAGGATGCAGCGGAAGTTACGCCAAATATTCGCACAAGGGATCATGGGACGTGGGAATAAGGTGGATATGCTGGCTGGGTAACGAGACTCAGCTGAGAGCAACTGCAGTGGAAGGGGTGTGGCCAGGCAGTGGGAAAGGCGGCAGCAGCAGAGCAGACTGTGACACTGACAGGATTTGCAATGTAGAGATAAATGGAGCCACTAGGGACTAGTGAATCATTCCACAGTTAAGTTTTGATGCATCATGGCAAGTTAAAAAGGTCTCGTCGAAACCCAAAATTTTTCATTTTAGACGAGCAAATTTTGACAGGATGCGCTTGTGTGTAAGTGCAATGGATTAGATGAAACTCCTTGATTGCGAGACTGTGAATGAAATCTGGGGTAAATTCATGGGAGTTCACCCTGATGCACAGCAGGGGCGGTTCTTCAGGGGAAAGATGGCTGGCCCCCCCAATCCATTGGGCTATAGTGCTGTCGATCTTACAATTTTGATTTCCGTTGGATCAGAGTAATGTTTCTTGGCTGCCTGTACTTCCAATCGTGGCCTTTCCGTTTGGTAAATGCTCAACACCATTAAACAAGAGGGCTGCCGATCAAAGGTATTGCTTTCCAATACGGAGGCGGAGTTTTCCCCACAGCCTAAACATTTGCCTGTAAAATATAACTGTGATTTAGTGTTTATTCCAGATTTTCCTTTATCACATAACCATGGTACTTTTCTCAAAGCCCAACACATGGAAATTTTTTTATATTACCCTAGGTACATATCATTTTTGCGGAAATATCATTGTCTTAGGCCGCGGGGAAAAACTGTTCCATGTTAAGTCATGCTGTTAATATTTAGCCAAACTGAATAAATCGGTATGACTTTGCACAATAGCAGTCTAGCGAAGTGCCACTCTCATAACTGAGTTAACTTTACTTTGCTAGCAGTACCTTTCCATAACCATTATGCAGCTAACATTAGTTTGTTCACTTGCGTGCTAACGTTAGCTAGCCAGATACTCATTTGACAGTGGAGGAAAACCGTGTTTTGGCATTGTTTCCAGATTTTTCTCTATCACGTAGCTGACTAAAGTGAGTTCTTTTACCATGGGCCAACTAATGATGCGGAAGTGATCAAAACAAACCGTTGCTAGTTCAGACGCGAGAGTAATGGCTTGACCGCTGTGCAAGTTAGCAGAGTGATGCCGTCGGCTCAGTGGTAACATGTAGTGGGAATCACTGTTCAGGCTCTTACGGAAATTACATTTGTTGTCCATTAATTGCGCAATTTAGTTGTGTGACAGAATCTTACACTGATCAGTCCACTGCTAATGCCTCAATAAATAAAAATATTGGAAACGTGTATCGCGAGCATAAGACCCCTGTAGTTCCAGTAATTCATCTCTCCTTATCTGAGTCAACCATTTCTTTCAGCTAAGATAATTTTTTGGAAAACAATGAAAAATAAGATCATCTCGCAATCTAACATCCCCATTACACCGCGGGACACAACAGAGGAGCACTGCGTTTTGGCATTGGAATGCATGCTATGCATAGAATTTAAGAGTGGTCCATAATCACCGCGTCTCTGTGCATGGTATGTTTAAACTAAGATCTATATTTTGAAATATTGAAGAAGCGTGGCTTCAAAGTCAAACGTTAGTCGCAAATTAACGCTGGTCGCTATTGCGCTGTGGTCAACTCAGCTGTGCAAGTACTTAACCAAAAACGATCGCAAATTTTAGGCAATACAAAGAAACTTTCCCAGTAAGCTATATTTACATGCTTGGTGTCTACGGATTTCCCTAAATTTAAACTTTGCTATTATCTTGATGTAGTCTTTCATGTTTGATTAAAGACTAAAATCACAATCAATTTCTCCAAGATAATGTGGTTAAACAAACACTGAAGTTTTAGTTTTCTGAGAATTTTGAGAATGTAGCGATTAGATGAATTACATTGAAATTTTAAGATTTAAAGGAAGCGGCATACACCGTACTACATTTATTTCTCTCTCTTCTAAATTGCTTGGGCATAGGGAATTTGACCTCATTGGACCGGGATATTGACACTACTGCATTAATAGACACACTCACACTGCAATGTGAAACAGCTGTTTTACTTTTGTTATAAAATATGTACCATGGATATTTGTGTGTAATAGAATTGACAAAATTCTGATACCATGGAATTGTTTCTGTTCTGTTTTGCCCTGGAATAGTTTTTGAAACAAGTGCCACACTACAGAAAATGTGTACTGTATTTGGATACACTTTATTAAAAATAAATGATAATCCATCATATATTATATATATGATGGATTATATATATTATATACACATATATAAAAAAATTGTACATATATATGTATATATAATCCATATCATATATTTCATATATATTTCTGAGCAGATTTTCAATGCTGTATTCTGATAAAAATGCCCTGCCTCACCCACCCACCCCGTGCCCCCCCTGACTGATTATTGGTCCCCCCTGTGCCACCCCACTTCAAAAATCCTGGAATCGCCCCTGATGCACAGTGTAAATTCATTCTAAAATTGTGCAAAAGTAAGTTTAAAAATCAGAACTCTCAGTAGATGACTACAGCTATTTGAAAGCATTTTAGGGAAAATAATATGCTCTGTAAGAAATACATGGTCACACTTTAGATGAAGTGTTGCTCATAAAGGCTTTATACGGAATGTATAATGCCTTCATAAATGAGAAATAATGTCTTCATAAATCATACATAAGCAAATTTCATGCTTCGTAAAGGGTGAAATAACATCCTCATTCAGCATATGATGCCAGATGTGACAATGACAATGTCGTTTAGCTGACATTGTCATCCATTACAGCATTTAGCCTCTAAGTGACACTGTCAGTTATATCACATCTGGCATCACATGCTGAATAAGGATGTGTTATTTCACCCTTTACAAAACATGAAATTTTCTTATGTATGATTTATGAATACATTATGTCTCATTTATGAAGGCATTATACATGCTGTATAAAGCCTTTATGAGCAACACTTCATCTAAAGTGTGACCAAATACATTAAGGAGAGCAATGACAATACTAGGGCTGAAATTGTGAAATGCATGCTAAAAAAAAAAAAAAAAAAAAGAGCTGAGGGAGGCTAAAAGACTATGAAAGGCAAATTGCAGAGGATGCTAAACCTAATCCTTAGTTGGTTTTTTTTTTTTTCAATTTTGTTGGAGAAAGTAAAAAAGGGAAAGTTATGGAGGTGGTCAAGTGTATCGAGAATAAACATGGATCATTACTGTATGAGTTGCCTTAAATAGGTACCTTGTTGACAGTTTTACCAGATTTCTAATTACCCAGAGAGCATTTCCAATGCTCAATTTTTTTTTTTTTTTAGCTGAAATTGTGGAAGGCACTACAACATGAGATTCCACGGGCAGCAGTTAGCTGAAATTTCTTAAA